GTGCTCAGCTTCTGCTTAGAGACTTTCTGTGACCCCGATTGACACGCATCCTCCTGGCTGGGCATCTCAGTCCTCCCCACCCAACTTGCCTGCCTCTTCTCCCATGGCTCCTTCTCAGGCAGCCATTTTTGGTTCTCAACCAAAGCATGTCGCAATTACCTAGAGGGGAAATACATCAGTTCCTTGGGAAGACATCCTAGAATGGGGAGACAGAGGGCAAAAGGTTGCAAAACATTCTCCAGGGTGATCCAAATCTGCTTCCCTGACTTGACTGAGAAACACTGCTTTTTCAAAGAAAAAGACCACTTACGACCACTCCCCGCGCCTCGCCTTTCTGTACCTTTCGTACACATCATCCTTTTGTTGAAATGTCCTGCTGCCAAAATCCAACCCACATCTGCTCTTTCGCAGAGCAATTTGACAAAAACTAGTAAAGCTGAGGATGACCTAGTAATTCTCTTCTCTGGTAAACATCCTAGATACACTTCTGCACATAAGCACAAGAAGACACATACGAAAATGTTCACTGCAGCACTGTTTGAAAGACAGAAAAACCAAAAACAACCTAAATGTCCATTAACAGAAGAACTGATGTAGAAATTGTGGGCTGGGTACAGTGGCTCACGCCTGTAATTCCAGCACTTTGGGAGGCCCAGGTGGGCAGTTTACTTGAGGCCAGGAGTTCCAGACCAGCCTGGCCAAAATGGTGAAACCCCGTCTCTACTAAAAATACGAAAATTAGCTGGGCATGGTGGCGCACGCCTGTAATCCCAGCTACTCGGGAGGCTGAGGCAGGAGAATCACTGGAACCTGGGAGGTGGAGGTTGCAGTGAGCCAAGATTGCGCCACTGCACCTCAGGCTGGGCGACAGAGAAAAACTCCGTCTCAAAAAAAAAAAAATTGTAGCATGCACACATATGTGCAGGTATGCATACACACCATGGAAAACTAGAGAAAACTAGAGCTACATGTATCAATATATATAATCTATAAAATATGTTGAGCAAAAAGCAATTTATAGGATACAGTATGAATATATAAAATGACATTATTTCAGAATACATAAACATGCAATAAAGTATAATGAAATGCAGGAAATAATAAACGCCAAATTCAAGATCCTGGTTCCCTCCAGAGAGTGGAGGGAGAAGGTTGCAATTGGGTAGAGGAACACCACTGACTTTCATTGCATGGGTAACTGCATTAGTTTCTGTGGCTGCTGTGACAAATAACCACAAACTCAGTGGTTTAAAGCACCTGAAATTTATTCTCTCATAGTTCTGGAGGCCAGAAGTCCAAAACCAGTATCGCTGGGCTGAAATGAAGGTGTGGGCAGGGCTGTGGAGGCTCTAGGGGAGAATCTGTTCCTTACTTCTTCCAACTTTTGATGTTTTGGTGGCTGATGGCATTCCTTGGTTTGTGGCGACAACACTCCAATCTTCAAATCTGCTTGTCTCCACGTGGCGTGCGTGTGTGTGTGCGCGCGTGTGTGTGTGTGTGTGTGTGCGCGCTGTGTGAAATCTTCTGCCTGTCTCCAAAAGAATACATGTAATTACATTTAGGGCCCACCTGGATAATCCAGGATAATCTCCCTACTTCAAAAGCCCTAACTCTGCTGGGCACAGTGGCTCATGCCTGTAATCCCAGCACTTTAGGAGTCTGAGGCAGGTGGATCACTTGAGGTCAGAAGTATGAGACCAGCCTGGCCAACATGGTGAAACCCCATCTCTACTAAAAATACAAAAATTAACTGGCCATGGTGGTGCATGCCTGTAATCCCAGCTACTCAGGAGGCTGAGGCAGGAGAATTGCTTGAATCCAGGAGGTAGACGTTGCCATGAGCCAAGAACACACCACTGCACCACTGCACTCCAGCCTGGGCGACAGAGCGTGACTCCGTCTCAAAGGAAAAAAAAAGCCTTCGCTCAATCATATCTGCCATGACATTTTTTCCAAATTTAACATTTCCAGGCTTCAGAGATGAGGACTTGGTAGCTTTGGAAGAGCATTTTTCAACCTATCACAGTAATATTTTCTTAAGCTGAGAGGTAGGTAATAGAAGATATGTGACTTCCCACTTGGGCCCAGCAGAATGACTCCTGCAAAAAGGGTAGCCAGAAGAAGGGGGGTCATTCTGCCATCAATGAGGTGGTGACCTGAGGATACACCATCAACATTTACAGGTGCGTCCACGAAGTGGGCTTCAAGAAGAATGCCCCTCAGGCACTCAAGAGAGATCCAGAAATCTGCCATGATGGGAGATGGGGACTCCAGATGTACGCACTAATACTAGGCTCAACAAATGTTAGGTGAAAGGAAGGGCCCTACCACATCCATGTTTATCATGCAGAAAACATCATGAGGTGAAGGTTCACCAAACAAACTCTACACTTTGTTTTAACTATGTACCTGTTACCACTTTCAAAAATCTATAGACAGTCAATGTGGGTGAGAGCCAACCACCGATTGTCAAATAAAGTGATAAAATCATACACACACAAATAGACATAGAATCACGGCCCTTTACCTTTTTTTTTTTGAGACGGGGTCTCATTCTATTGCGCAGGCTGGTGTGTAACGGTGCAATCATAGCTCACTGCATCCTCTGCCTCCCGGGGTCAAGTGATTCTCCCACCTTGGCCTTCCGAGTAGCTGGGACCACAGACGCGTGCCACTATGCCCAGCTAACTTTTGTAGTTTTTTGTAGAGATGAGGTTTCACCATGTTGCCTAGGCTGGTCTCGAACTCCTGGGGCTCCAGCAATCCACCTGTCTCAGCCTCCTAAAATGCTGGGATTACAAGTGTGAGCCACTGTGTCCAATCTCATGGCCCCTTACTTTGAATAACAGTTGTCTATGACTATATCTTAACGCAGATACAGACTGCGAACCTTTCATAGAAAAACAGGTCTCCATACCCCGAACCTAAAATAAAACTTTTTTAAAAAAGAAAAAGAGGTCTCCAGGAGGCTGAAGGGCAGTGTAATGTGGGTGACTCAGTAGGAAGGTGAGAAGACTACGTGTCACGCTCTGAAAGTAGAGCGTATGAATTTGTCATTTCAGACGTAGGACAATTCTGGATAAAATGAGATCCAGGGCCTAACCCCTATAACCTGACTTTCGCCATTTTGAGATTTTTTCGTGTGAGTCTTTTTTGAGATGTTAAATTACGTTTCTAAACAGTGGTATCCTCCTCCAAACATTCACATTAGCAAGAGACCTGAAGATCAAAAATCAAAAAACCCTTTCAGAACCAAGTGGATTGGATACCAACTTCTAGCAGAATTCCAAGAACTGTGGACAGGTCAGTGGACAAAAATTCCCATCATATTACCTAGGCAGCCACCAGCTCCACCTGCTTTTAATCCGAGCCTTCTGCTTCCCACCCCTCCCAGGCCAAAATTACTGCCAGTGCTCTATGAGTCAAGTGGGCTCAGGTGCTGTCCTGGACAGCACTGGAGGAAGCAAATGGCCACTCCTTTGTCATTACAGTTCACTAAGTAGGTGTTTGTTCTTTGCCTGCAGCCTGGTCCCAGCAGGACTGGTGAGAGCTCATGTGTGCACCAGAGTCAGAGTACACCCTGTGTCCTCCCTCCCCAAACGGGGGAGTGGTTGCTAATGACAATGACCAACCTTACTGGAAGATGCTATGAAAATCCACAAAACTGAAGCTGACATCTGTGGCATTTTGCTTAAGGGCATTTTGTCAACAAAGCATACTGTGCACTAGAAACAATCTAGGTGGGTCATTTGCACCTGTAAATTACTAATAAAAATAACATCTCAAACTTGGCAGGCTTAGAGGCTGAGATCGCTGGCATTTCATTTGTCAAGTCTCAGCTCAGATGGCATCTCAGAGGCATCTGCCTAAAAGTGATGGCCCCAGTTACCTGCCATCCTGTCACACTTTTTAATCTCTTTCTTATCATTTTTCATAATCTGCAATGATTTTGTGTTTGCTTATGTATTTGTGGTCCATCTCTCCCACTAGGAGGTAGGCTCTCTGGAAAAAAAAAAAAAAAAAAGAAAAGATCCTGCTTTTTTGGTACCCTCTTATATCCTCAGCCCTAGGACAGTTCCTGGCACATATTTAAGTACTCAATAAATATTTATTGAATAAATGAGTGGGTCAATGAACAAATTAATGTACAAATGCAGAGGCTGAATATAAATGTCCCAGGGCCCAGAAAGAATCAGTTACAGAAGTGAAAACAGGACCCAGATAAAGAATGTTTTATATTTACGTGCCTCAACATATCTGGCTACGATTGCTTCCCCATTTGCTATATCTGGTATGTTCCCACAACTTAAACCAGAATATCACAGGCACATTCATTCATTTTCCAACTGGGGAGACTGAAGCCCAGCAAAGTGAAATGACTTAAGTGAAACTACGTGACTAGTTATACTTATAACTTGAACTTGGACCCTGACTTCTATCAGAAAAATAACTTACTCATAAGATGATCTGCGTTTTTTACCTCATTTTGTTCATTTCCTCACAAACAATATATTCTATGAGAAAAGTGTTTTTGTCTCCATGAGACAAAAAAACATGGTATAAAGTCAGTGTTATATTTTGCAAATCAATAACCACTACCTTGGGGATTCTATTCAAGGACTAATTATTAAGGAGGCAACTTTGGCCAGGCTTGGTAGGACTCACAGTATCAGAGATGAGTGAGATGAGGACATCCTGCTCCCAGGGCCACCAGGTACATCAGACTGTCAACATGAAAGTCCTAGACTCAGACCCTGGTTATCTTTAGCATTAGGGAGATATTGTTTCATATGTTTAAGGGGCAACTCTACCAGGAAGCAAGGAACTGAATGACTCCATGAGACACTCCCAGCTCCGCGGGGCCTTCTGGACAAGAACAGCACAGGCAGCAGGAAGAACAAGTGTTTTGAATATACCCACTTCCCCTCCTCCCATGAGACTATGCTGCCTCCTTGTGATTGAAGAAGCAAACGCTGATTGCAAGTACTTCATACATCAACTGAGAAACATTAAAATGTTCTTAATAAGCATGAAAGACTTATCTGCATCCAGCTCCCATTTCCCGTGTATATGTTATAGAAAGTGCACTCTGGCTCATTCATTCATCCTTCCCGTCTTCCCGAAAATGACATGCGTTCCGAAACCTGTTTTGAATTATAACAGAAAAGCATCACTGTCTGTTATTGAAAAGAGAAAGAATTTTTTCATTTCAAACAAATAAAAGCCCTGAAGGATCATATCTTCTCCTAAGTAGGTTCATTGTCAACCAAAAGCAAACATATTACCCACAGTAAGCAGTGACTCTGTGAAAATGAGTGATTTATCAAATAACAACCTTAAGAGAATCTCTGCTAGCTCTCAAACCTCTTGTTAACTAATATTATTCATTAACTATGTCTAGTATTGTGTTTTTTGTTTGTTTATTCTGAGATGGAGTCTTCCATTGTCACCCAGGCTGGAGTGCAGTGGTGCCATCTCGGCTCACTGCAACCTCCGCCTCCTGGGTTCAAGCAATTCTCCTGCCTCAGCCTCCCAAGTAGCTGGGATTACAGGCACCCACCACCACACGCAGCCAACTTGTGTATTTTTTGTAGAGACAGGGTTTCACCGTGTCAGCCAGGCTGGTCTCAAACTCTTGAACTTGTGATCCACCTGCCTCAACCTCCCAAAGTGCTGGGATTACAGGCGTGAGCCACTTCGCCAGGCCCTATGTCTAGTATTGTAGCATCCACTTCCATCACCATCTCATAGAAAAGCATCTCCTTGAAAATCAAAACAAGAAAATGATGGATGGCTTCCTAAGGGACAATTTTCCACACAAATAATGTTTAACAAAAAAACTGAAAAAAAAAAAAAAGGACAAAGCAAAGCAACTCATAATGAAAAATAATTACTTTAGAACAATAAAATTCAAAGGAAACTATTCAGGCAGTAGAGAGAGTCTCCAGAAACAGAATTTATAGGACACCCCAGAAAATACTGCATGAACGCCACCAAATTCAATACCAGCAAGAAATAGTATGGTAGATTTCTGCCTGCAGGAAAGTGATTGTAACCTAAGCAAACCTATGTTTGCAGTTATCTGCTCTGAGGACTGGTTCAACTCACTATTTGAATTATGCCTAAGAACTCCGACCCTCATGTGAGCTCTGGCAGAAAGGCAGTTGTTAGTTCTTGTCCTTGGAATTACTGCCTCCAAAGATAAATCCAATGTGTCAACTCTAAATCATTTACCTAAATTACCTCCTTGATTAACTGTTGGTTTGCCAGCCTGTCCTTCCCACTAGATGGTGATAGGAACCCTGTTTCATTCATCTTTGTATTCCTCACTTCTGATACAGAGAAATGAAGTTAATAAAAATTGGTGTGGAGCCGGGCTTAAAAATCAATCCTTCTTTGAGTATTTCGTTGTTCCTATCTTTTTGGCATTTTAAGGAAGTTTAAAAATATTTTTAGGGCCAGGCACGGTGGCTCATGTCTGTAATCCCAGTACTTTGGATCTTGACGCCAGGAGTTTGAGACCAGCCTGGGCAACAGAAGGAGACCCCGTATCTACAAAAAATAAAATGAGCCAGGTGTGGTGATGTGTGCCTATAGTCCCAGGTACTCAGGAGGCTGAGGTGGGAGGATCTCAGGCCTGGGGACTTGAGGACGCAATGAATCATGATTTCATCCCTGTACTCCAGCCTGGGCAACAGAGTGAGACTCTGTCTCCAAAGAATTTTTTTTTTTTTTTTTTTTTTTTTACCAAAAACACCGTAGGCTCCATATTTCAAATTACCTCATAACAGGTTCACAACATTTGATGAATGATGGTGTTGTTTAGTTCCCTTGGAGCTGTTACTATTCTGCTATTATTAATCAAGAGCTCAAAAATCACAAAATTATATATCGAATTCTGAAGTATTAATTATAAACCCTATAAATTACAAGTCCTAATTTGTACCAAATATTACAGGTGACTGCAAGCAAGTTATTTCAAGCATTTACAACTGGGATCCATCCAGAAACGATCATCTTTAGAGTCTCCACATAAATCTCAACATTTCATCCACAGCAACGCCCCCAGTAACCTCAACATCTCATCCACAGCAACACCCCCAGTAACCTCTCAACATTTCATCCACAGCAACGCCCCCAGTAACCTCAACATCTCATCCACAGCAATACCCCAGTAACCTCAACATCTCATCCACAGCAACACCCCAGTAACCTCAACATCTTCATCCACAGCAATGCCCCAGTAACCTCAGCATCTCATCCACAGCAACGCCCAGTAACCTCAGCATCTCGTCCACAGCAACGCCTGTGCACCTCAGCATCTCATCCACAGCACGCCCCAGTAACCTCAACATTCAAACCACAGCAACGCCCCCCAGTAACCTCTCAGCTTCTCATCCACAGCAACACCCCCAGTAACCTCAACATCTCATCCACAGCAATGCCCCCAGTAACCTCAGCATCTCATCCACAGCAACGCCCCCAGTAACCTCAACATCTCGTCCACAGCAACGCCCCCAGTAACCTCAGCTTCTCATCCACAGCAACGCCCCCAGTAATCTCAACATCTCGTCCACAGCAATGCCCCCAGTAACCTCAGTATCTCATCCACAGCAACGCCCCCAGTAACCTCAACATCTCGTCCACAGCAACGCCCCCAGTAATCTCAACATCTCATCCACAGCAACGCCCCCAGTAACCTCAGCTTCTCATCCACAGCAACGACCCCAGTAACCTCAACATCTCATCCACAGCAATGCCCCCAGTAATCTCAACATCTCATCCACAGCAACACCCCCAGCTGCCTGCTGATTGCTCCATCCCCAACTCAGTCTTCATGGCGCAGCATCCATAGTAGGTACAAACACTATGCCTTTGGAGAGGAGTGCCTTAGAGTCCACAGCTAATGGCTATAGAAATTGACCCATTCTATCAAGAAAACGCAAAATTAAAATGCCAACATTAGGCAAAAAGAAAAGAAAAAAAAAAAAGCATAGGATACTCCCAATAGGTGCCAAAAGAGCAATGATTAGGTACAGTGTTTTTGGGAGAACTGACCTGGAGCCTGCTGGAGTTGTTCAGAGTCTAGAGGGAAACATAAACAAGAAAACCAACCATGTAGGTGTGGAGATCAAATAAGATGAGAGGCTATAATGGATGGTAGAATGAGGGATTCCGGGAGCACAGAGGAGGGCCACCTGATGCTGCCCTGAAGAGGTAGAGAAGGCTTCATTCCAGAGCAAATCCTGAGCTGCGTTTGGAAAAACAAGCTGGAGGTAGTCAGAAATAGAAGGGGGAAGCTGGGCGCGGTGACTCATGCCTGTAATCCCAGCACTTTGGGAAGCTGATGCGGGCAGATCACGAGGTCAGGAGTTTGAGACCAGCCTGGCCAACATGGTGAAACACTTTCTCTACTAAAAGTACAAAAATTAGCCAGGCATAGTGGTGTGCCCTTGTAATCCCAGCTACTTGGGAGGCTGAGGCAGGAGAATCGCTTGAACCCAGGAGGCAGAGGTTGCAGTGAGCTGAGATCGCCCCACTGCACTCCAGCCTGAGCGACAAAGCGAGACTCCACCTCAAAAAAAAAAAAAAAAAAAGAAAGAAAAGAAAAGAAAAGAAAATAGAAGGGGGAGGAGGCGGTATCCCAGGCAGAGGAAAGACTCCCACCAAGTAGGAACTCAAATAATTCCATAGCACCTAGGGTCCGAAATCCTGTAGAGGAGAAGTAGAACCGGTGGCCAAAGGTCAGATCACTGACAGCTGTAAACCATGACATGGAGCTCAGATTGCAATCTGAAGGTGAATTGATTCAAGGACTCAATTCTAGGAAAGAATTTAACTTGCATCTTAAAAATGAAATCTGAATATCGACTTGTTAATTCACAGTAGGAAAAAAGTCACTAAAGAGCAAATCGAGGCTGGAGTTCTCTGAAAGCAAACGCTCTGTCTTCAGGCTGGCCACGGAGAATGCCGGGATCTGATGAGGAAGCGGCTGGTGAAGCTCAGGTAGCTGACTAAAGCAGCATCATTCATGACACTATGGGGATCCACCTACCTCCTGCCCCGGGAGGGGTACGGTCCAGAGCATTGAGTGATGGCTCTAGCGGCAGAGGAGACAGAGAGGCGATGCACGGGCCTGACAGCTGGAGGACCCCTGAGAACCAAGAGGGGATGCGCGGGACTGACAGCAGGAGGACCCCTGAGAACCGAGAGGGGATGCGCGGGCCTCGAGAGGGGATGCGCGGCCTGGGACAGCAGGAGGACCCTGAGAACCGAGGAGGGGATGCTGGCCTGACAGCAGGAGACCTCTCCCTGAGAACCGAGAGGGGATGCGCGGGCCTGACAGCAGGAGGACCCGTGAGATGGCCAGTGCTCCACTGTGTCATGACGAGGGCCTGAACTAGAAAGTGGAAGTAGAAATGAGAAGGCAGATTTAGGAGAACTACTTCCTCTTCCTCCTCCTCCTCCTCCTCCTCTTCTTCTTCCTCCTCCTCCCTCTTCCTCTTCCTCCTCCCTCTTCCTCTTCCTCCTCCCTCTTCCTCCTCCTCTCTCTTCCTCTTCCTCCTCTTCTTCCTCTTGTTCTTCCTCTTATTCTTTGAGTTAGAATCCAACCTTTATTTAAAAATCTAATCTGCCAGTTTATCGTTTTCCACCAACTCAGGGAGCTGAAACTCACAGGCTTCACAATCTTTTGCTTAGGCGTTGCCTTTGTAGGTGCCTTAGCAGCAGCCATTGCAGTCTTTTTAGATGCTTGCTTAGCCTCTTTTGCTTCCTTAGCAGCCCTGATAGCTTGTTCTCTTTGAGCCTTTCTAACTTCAGGTTTCTGATTCCTCTTGGTCATTATAGCAGCAAGAGATACACCAGTGATGGCCTCTGGAATTTGACTGCTCAACGGGTTCCTTTCTTTTGAATATCTTCCGACTGTCCCTTTTTGTGCTTCCTTCTGTAGAGGACAGCACCGTTTACCTGCCAAGGGTTCCTTTGGAAAGGAATGCCAACTTGCATTTTGCATTAAGAAACTGGAAACCCTTCCCGTGGGTCCTGGCGTAGTGCTTTCCGTGTCCTGGCTAGATCTTGTACCCGCTGAAACTGCACAGCTCAACCTTCACGGCAGCGGCTCCACAGGAAGAGAAATGATGGCAAAGAGAACTATTGTTACTATTTTTTGAGATGGTGTTTAGTTTCGCTCGTCACCCAGGCTAGAGTACTAAGGTGTGATCTCAGCTCACTGCAACCTCCACCGCCCAGTTCAAGAGATTCTCCCTACCTCAGCCTCTGGAGCAGCTGGGATTACAGGCGCCCACCACCAGGACAGGCTCATTTTTGTTTTTGTTGTTGGGTTTTTGTTTGTTTGTTTGTTTTATGAGATGGACTCTTGCTCTGTTGCCAGGCTGAAGTGCAGTGGTGCGATCTCGGCTCACTGCAACCTCTGCCTCCCAGGTTCAAGAGATTCTCCTGCCTCAGCCTCCAGACTAGCTGGGACTACAGGTGTGTACCACCACACCCAGCTAATTTTTGCATTTTTTTTTTTAGTAGGGATGGAGTTTCACCATATTGGCCAGGATGGTCTTGATCTCTTGACCTCGTGCTCTGCCCGCCTCAGCCTCCCAAAGTGCTGGGATTACAGGCGTGAGCCACTGTGCCTGGCCTAATTTTTGTATTTTTAGTAGAGATGGGGTTTTACCATGTTGACCAGGCTGGTCTCAAACTCCTAACCTCAGGTGATCCACCCACCTCAGCCTCCCAAACTGCTGGGATTACAGGCATGGGCCACTATGCCTGGCCTGATTTAGGAGATTTTTAGGAGGCAGAATCAGGTGGTCTGAGGGATCAACCGCATGTGGGAAGTAAGGGGGAAGTAGGGGTTTGAGATGACTGGTTAAAGTCAGCCAGCAAGGGGGAGTAAAGGAGTGCAGGCACGTTTGTGTGGGGAGACGACGAGATTCATGACTTGGCTCCTGCCAACTTGTAGGATTATCTTTTGCCACTACCGAGCATAGATCCTTTATGCCTGTCAGACTGAACACCTTGCAGTTTCCAAAGGTGTCACCCTCTCGGACCCCAGTCTGTTTACATACATCATTCCAGACAACACAACACCCTTCTCCCTGCCCTGCTGACTCCTGTTTACCAGCTCGCCAAGCCTGTCTGGCCAGCCTTCTCTGGTCCTTCCCCTGCTCTCCTGACTATCCAACTGTTACGGGTTGAACTGTGTCCCCTAAAAAGATATGTTGAGGTCCTAACTCCCAGTACCTGGGAATGTGACCTTATTTGGAAATAGGGTCTTTGCATATTGAATTGAATGAGCTCATTAGGGTAGGCCCTAATACAATACGACTAGTATCCTCATAAGGAAAGGAAAATGGCACGCGAAGACAGAAACACATGGGGAGAACACAGGATGACAGCAGAGACCGGAGTCATGCAGCCGAAAGCGGGGAATGCTGAGGATCGCTGGCCAGCACTGGAAGCTAGGAGAAGGCAGGAAAAGATTCTGCCTGGAGTCTCAGAGGGAGGATGGCCCTGCTATCACCTTGATTTCAGATGTCTAGCCTCCAGAACTGTGGGAGAATACGTTTCTGTTGTTTTAAGCCACAGGAAACTAGTACATCATCATTTCCATGTGTCCATGTTTCTACATTTGTAAACACTGTATGTCCACTTAGGCATTTACCACCTGGTCTGGTCATTCTTTGTTTTATATTTCTTTATTAAATTATGAGCTTACAGCTGGAGGCAGTGGCTCATGCCTATAATCCCAGCACTTTGGGAGGCCAAGATGGGCAGATCACCTGAGGTCAGGAGTTCGAGACCAGCCTGGCCAACATGGTAAAACCCCACCTCTACTTAATACAAAAATGAACTGGGCATGGTGGCATGCACCTGTGATCCCAGCTACTCAGGAGGCTGAGGCAGGGGAATCACTGGAACCTGGGAGGCAGAGCTTGTGGTGAGCCGAGATCGCGCCATTGCACTCTAGCCTGGGCGACACAGCAAGACTCCGTCTCAAAAAAAAAAAAAAAAAGATGAACTTACCTTTAAGGACAAGAATCATGTTTTATACGTCTCTGGACATACAGCAAGTTGTCTGGCACAGTGAATGCTTAAGAAATATTTCTTAAATGAGAAAAAAAAATGGACCAAAGTTCTTGATGGCATTTAGAGATCAGCAGGAGGTTTACCAGATGGCAGCCACTGGAAGGAGCCCACAGGGGGATGGCATTGACATGAGCCTCAAGAAATTTTTACCCTGGGCCATGGGTCAGGACAGAGGGAACGATGATAACCGCAGCAGCAGTCTTGGGAGTCACAGAGGAACCTAACTCCTGCCCAGTCCTGTGCTCCATGGCACAGAACTGCCGGCCACTATTTGTGAGTTGCACAGCAGTCTTGGGAGTCACAGAGGAACCTAATTTCCTGCCCAGTCCTGTGCTCCAAGGGCACAGAACTGCCGGCCACTGTTTGTGAGTTGCGGTCTCTGCCCAGTCCTGTGCTCCATGGCACAGAACTGCCGGCCACTATTTGTGAGTTGCATAGGACAGAAAACCTAGACTTCTGTTAAGGCGAGGAGTGCAGGCGAGGAGTGCAGGCAACATTCTGGGAAGGCATCTGGGGTCTCAGACCGGCTGATGTGACAGGTGGGTGTGTACCAACGCACAACAGTTGTACTCTGTGCACGGCCACTGTTTCGAGCCTTCAGAATGTTCCCCATCTTGTGACCACCCCTGGGGCTCCCCAGTAAGCCCAAAAACTAAAGCGGTAACACCTGGTAGCAGACAGAGGCTTCTCTGAATTACATGGAGCCATGCCTGCGTGATAGCCATTTTCCTTCCTGCTTAGTTGCGGCCTGCCCACACCGCGTTGGTTTTCAAATATCCTGAGTATCACCCTGCACATAAGCAGTTTGTGAGGAATGGAGGCTGGCATGCCCAGCAGGCATTCAAGGAGAAGCTACATGGAGAGGCCGGAAGATGACAGTGGTGAAAGAGGCTGCACATTCAAGGCCCCGAGGGGGACAGGGATGGGAGGCCTGGTGTGCAGACTGGCTTTGGGTGTGAAAGGACTTCTCTGCCATGCCATTCAACTCCCTGAGAACTGGCTGGGCTCGCCTGGTTGGCTCCCAAAGCAGCTGTCCCAGGAGGACAAGGCTTGGCCTAGTCCCAGAGCTGAGCAGATTGAAAGAAGAGTTCAGTACTTGTGAGGGGAGGAAAAGACATTGTACTTGGCTCTGCTTAGAGCTATTATAGCATTGACTTCACTGTACTTTATTTCTAATCCTTCAGGAAGCATACTGTCACATTTAATAAGCCTGCAGACTGGATTCACCAGAAGAGTTTGTTCCTGCCTACTCTGTATACATTTTCTTAATTTCTTTTTTTTTTGAGACTGAGTCTCACTCTATTGCCCAGGCTGGAGTGCAGTGGGGCGATCTCAGCTCACTGCAACCTCTGCCTCCCGGGTTCAAGCGATTCTCCTGCCTCAGCCTCCCAAGTAGCTGGGATTACAGGGGTGCACCACCACATCCGCCTAATTTTTGTATTTTTAGTAGAGACAGGGTTTCTCCATGTTAGCCAGGCTGGTCTCAAACTCCTGACCTCGTGATCCACCCACCCTGGCCTCCCAAAGTGTTGGGATTACCGGTGTGAGCAACCACATCCAGCAATTTTCTTAATTTCTGTGTCCCTCTATGGAGGGAGAGGAAATATGAAACAAAAGCAGTTAATGCTTTGATGTGTTCTCTTTGACCCTGCAGTCTTAGTTAATTTTTTCTGACTTGGCGGCACCTAGCAAGATCAAAGTTGTGGTCAACCGTAGAGCTCCACAGTCTTGCACTGCTGCCATTCCTAGCACAGAGCCAAATGGGGTCTGTGTGGACTCTGTTCTGAAATGTAGCAAACGCAATTGCCTTTGACAAGCACAGCTGAGCAGCGTATTTAAGAATGTCAGAATATTAGGGGTAGGATAGACCTTCATAAAATTAAGATAAAATTTGTGTTGATTGGGTCCAGTCTTGGACAGGGTTGAGCTTCCAAATAGGTAAACCATGAATGACAGGCGGTTAAAAAGTACATTCTAGTTGGTACCTACAAGGTAACAGTATAGGTGCCACCATAACAAAAAAAAAAAATGAAAAATTTTAAATCTAGAGATAAAGCTAGTTTTTACTTTGGTTTTATTTGTACTTCAATTCTGTTCAGGATGCTGGTTAGAAAACCTCCATG